AATAAGAGTTTGTCACAAAGAAAGTGGATATTTATTAGTTTTTCCATCAGGTTTCTTGCACATCAGTGGCAGGTCTTCTTTTGTTCTTAATAATGTTTTTTTGTTACTGTCATTGTAACATCTGGTATTCCTTTTTCTTCCTTTTAAGATACACATAGTTGTTTATAAGAATACACTACAATCATTTAGATAATAACAACTGTGACAAAGACATCTCTTAACCCTAGTGGACTTTTTCATATTTTATTAGCAATGACTATACATGTGAAAGAAATGATACTACTTGAAAACATTTTTCCCTCCGTTAAAGGAGCAATTGCTTGCTGCTTATTGTTGAGCACTTTTGCTATCTACACATTAACATCTGTTTTGTCTAGCAAGTCAGATACATTTGTTCTTCCATGTTTAAGTTAATGCCCATCAATTTAATGGCAAATAAACATGCAAATGGAGGGGTGAACAGGTTACCTAATTCCTAAACAGATAAATGTCAGACTTCACATTTTTATAATATGAAGTCACAATACATATTACTTCACTTGAAGAATGTACTGAGCTTGATTTCTTCACTGTTTTAAACTTTGTAGGCATTCATAGTGTAGAGCGACTAGAAAGATGTGTAAAAATTGTAGGATTTACACACATTCGTTACAAGGATAAGCATTACACAAAACAAAATGAAGAATCAGGCCCACTGAGCACCTTAGAAACATTTTTTTAACATAAATGTTACAGTTTAAAGATAATAATATTATATTGCTAATAATCAGGATAAGGCACTTCGGAAAAAAAGATTCTAGATAGCTATGTCATGGGCTCACTTAAGTGTCATTCGAGATACTCAAATTCTCTTAAATACTGCTTTTTGTGCTCTGAAGAAAAAAAAAAAGTAGTCCAGATACTAAAACACCCTAAAAAAGAATTGTATTTAAATAAAATCACATGTACTGTAAAAAAGTCAGAGAAACATCTCACATGTTATAAACCCTGACCTTACATTATAAAATACAGTAGTGCTACATTCAAAGTTTGTATTAGTATATATCATATAAAAATGTGTACCCAAACGGATACAGAGCACTTTGTGCAGGTCAGTTTTTCTGTTTGCATTGTTGCATCACATTAAACACCATATTTTACAGATTTTTTTTTTATCTGGGTCAGGAAGTAACAAAATACAGTACTTGTAAAGCAAATATAAACATAGGTACTAAACCAAGCTCAGATAGTTGTCAGTTCATCTTCAGGGCATAGGCCAGAAATCAATATAACATTGTCCACTCCAATTTCCCCAGTTTTGCCCTTCCCACGTTCTGATTCAAAAATGACCTAAGAAAGAAGAAATACAAATTATGAAAAAGTAGTAAATTTAAAAATTTAACACCTATTAATGTCAAATTAGATGCTGTATCTACAGAAATGTTTAATTTTTATCCCAATATAGTGAGACTACCAACTTGAATCTTTGCACTTTTTATAATTTACAGTATTTAAAACTGTAAGTTTTATTTAAACTATATTTAAACTATACATTTTAAACTATAACTTTTTATAATTTACAGTATTTAAATTTATAGTATTTAAAAATGATGGATGAGCCTCTACACAAATCTAAGCCAAACTGATTTGCATAAAAGGATTTATTATTGTCAAAATACAAGCAAAATGTTATCTCTATGTCAAAAAATACCCTCCTTTATAGGCGTGTCCACACGAGACGTGTTAATGTGCATTAACCTAATTTAATGCGCATTAGCATGTGAACTAACTTTGGGCATTTATACACATACCTTTTCAGCCTGTAATGCACTGGAGATCTGGTGAGTTGGAGTGAGCTGACATGCAGTGTACTGCAGTGTGTGCAGTTGTATAAACGGTGAAATGTGTGTCAGCGCACAGAAAATGGCAGTGGTGCACTTTTGAACTAAAACACCTTCAAAGTGTTTTAGTTCAAAAACACACCACTGCCATTTTCTCAGCACTGATATGCATTTTGCCACTTATACAAGTGTATGTGCTGCAGTGCCACGCACTTTTAAAAACAGTGCTGTGGCACAAGCATGTGTACAGGTGCCCTTTAGTGTCAAGTGCACTAGCTTTAGTGCCAAATCCCTGTATGTGTAGACACCTACCAAAAATAATTTCATGCTCATTAAATTTATTGTGCTTAAATGCACGTGTAGATGTGCCTAGAATAAAGTAAACTATTATAATAAAGTAGCAGGATTAGGATTTGATATAACCTTGATACATTGGGGAAATGGTCTGAAAAAACACAGTTAAAATTTAATAAGGTTAAGTTCAAAGTATGATGCTTGGGAGGGACCAATCAAATACAGACACAAAATAGGGAACCAACGGTCAGCCTGAAGTACTGCAGAAAAGGACCTGGGGGTGAGAGTGCATCACTAACTAAATATAAGTAAGGGTCCAGCTAACTCAAGGAGGCAGCTGGTTGATTTCATGAGCAGATCCCAGGGCCAGCAGCCATTTTTGTGGCAGCTGATTGGTGGAGAGGGGTGGGGCTGCACAACAGGCAGCTTTCTCAGCTAATCAGCTGTGAAGAGCAGGGGTGGCAGCCATCCCGCCAGCAGCCCTTTGAGCCAGCAGCCCCCAGTGGAATATATGGCAAGGCCACAGTGGCCACAAAGACAGCTGACTTCCCAGAGGAAGGAATTTATTTTCAGTAAATTTTTTTTTCCGTGAGCCCACCAAAATCTGAGCCCACCTGATTTCATGGTTTCCATGAAAATCGTGCAAACGCGAATTTGTTAGGTCTGTAAATATGAATTAACAATGTAATATCCAGAGCTGTAGCCAGGCATTTTGGCACTTAGTGCAGGCCCTGTGTAGAGCACCCCGCTACATGCCACTACATAGCTTTACTTCCATTTGTTTTGACACCTCTCCCATATAAGAGTATCCAGTGCCAGTGCATTGCTGGTACCACCCTTGCTATGGTTCTGGTAATATTGTTTAAAAAAAAAAGCTATAGCATACAGGGATGTATTAATAAGCATGTTGTACAAGTCACAGGAAATGAGTCTTTTATTCCAGGAGTCAGCAACCTACACATCATGAAGGAATTAGATCTGTGTTCAGCGTCCCAAGTTTTACCAACAAAAAAAAAACAATCTCCTGCTGCTGCCCCTCTGTCCCCACTCTGTGTGGTGGGCTGCACTCTTGACCTCCACCCTCCCCCAC